AATGCTTCCAACTAGGCTTTGACTTTAACGGCTCACTGAAATGAACAGGCTGATAGATAGTAATGTTTGTTCTCTGCTACTGCTGTTGTCCAGTTGAAGACAGTTTTCTGCAGAGCTGGGATAAATGGCAGCCGTGTGTGAATAGACTGTGAAGGTTTCTGGCAGCAAAATTGTCTGAGAATCTCATGTTTCTCAAATAGAACCCACGTCTTCTGATTCCTAGTCCTGTGATTTAGCCACAAGACAATCCTTCCCTTGCTGGAGAAGTATTATCCACTCAGAGAAATTTGCTCTCTTTTGCTTAATCAGGGGTATTTTCAGATTCTCAAATATCAAAGTGTTCAAATAGTTTTCTTGTTTTACTCCTGAAATAGGTTCTAACATGTATTGAAATTCTCTCTTCGAATTAAGTTGGACAACAGTAAAAAAGCAGCTTAAAAAAACAAACAAACCACACATCGGATCCCAGCTAACAAATCTCGATTTTTGCATGTTCCCAAAACTATAGCAGATATTTGTTGCAGCTGGACTCTGTTTTCTAAATATATTAAATTTAAAAGGACAAAGAAATATAGCAATAGGGATAAATGTACAAGTGCATCTTCAAGTAAATGTCTTAACTGTAGACATTTTCTGAGTTTGTTACTTGAAGCTGGTAGTTGCAAGTGTCAAAGCTTTACCTATTGTGTCATGTTGATAGGTGGGTGAGCTGGAATACAATGCTTCTGTTTGCTGAAAAAGCTTGATCACTTGACAGTGCCAAATGGACAGAGCTAACAAATATGATCAGCAAAAAAAGTGTTTACTGTATATAACAAATGGGTTTCCAATTTCTCCTGGCAGCCTTGAATAAGGCTGCATGTCCCTATTTGATTGGGTTTCAATTGCTAAATGTGGTCTCTCTGACGCTTTATTTTTAAAGACCATGTTTGAGTTTCTTCAGCTGTCTGCATGCACACTCACATCCTGGCAACCAGCCATGGATAAGAGGTTGTGGCCCAGTGATATCAGGACTCTTATGGAGTTACATACAACACAGACTACCTGCATTCTCAGACCTGATCTACCCTTAAATTTTAAATTGACCTAGCTAAGTTGCTCAGGGATGTGAAAAATTCACTCCGTGGGTGATGTAGTTAAGCTGACCTAACCTCTGGCGTAGACACTGCAAGGTCAACAAAAGAGTTCTTCCACTGACCTAGATACCACTGCTTGGAGAGGTGGATTTACTACATTGATGGAAAAACACCTAGCAGTGTAGAAATCATCTACAATACGGCTCTACAGCAGCTCGACTGCAGCACTGTAGACATAGTCTCAGCCAGAGTGCATGGTTTGTGTTCTCTCAAAATAACTCTCAGGACAACGTCTGAATTTGTATTTTGTTAGAAAGGGATACTTTCAATTCCAAACTCAAATTTGACATGTTGTTGACCTACATACCGAGTGGTTTAAGAAGGATCTTGTCTCCCAGCTCATGGGTTAGAGGAGATTCCTGCGAGAATAAAAAATGGATCCATGTTGCTCCAGCATCCCAAATCTGCACACTCCTTCCATCCTGTCCTCTGCAGCAGTGAGGACATGGTATGGCCATACCCCTCAGTTTATCCCTAGGTCCCACTATTGTCACTGATAATTCTCTTGGTCTCGTGTGCCCATGCTTCAGAAATAGTCTGTTATTTACAAGTCCTTTAGTTTTCTATCTCTGGGATCTATGCATGTGGCATAACCTAATCAGCCAGTATTTTTGATTTTTTGAATCTACCTCAGAACAATTTCACCAGCTGAAGCTTTGTCTGCATTGGGAATCTGCCCTGATTCCAGCAACTGATGGCCAGTCACCAATGTAGAGGAAGGAGAGTTCAGTAATAAGGGTGCTAACAACTGGCCTCCAAGGCTTAATTTCTAATTTTTAATCTAAATTCCCCATCTCAGTTTAATCTCAGTTTTTAATCTCAGTTCCCCAAAATAGGGATAATAACACTTCCCTATCTATTAGGATGTTGTGATGATGGACATATTAAAGACTGTGAAGTGCTAAGGTACTAGAGTAACAAGGAATATATAAAAACTAGAGAGAGAGTAGCTGAACCAGTTCAAATCCCAAATGTAGACAAGGAAAGCAAGAATTTACACCAGTGAAAATCAGAGGTTTGGTTTTTTTATCTACACATGGGATTTGCATTAATGCAGCTACCAGTTGTTGAATTGGGGCAAATCCCAAATACAGACAAGGTCTCGATCTCTGTCTGTTACCAGTTAAACAATAATCCACAAATTGTGAGCTTTATCACCTAATAGTTGCTACAAGGCTGGAAGTTAAGAGCTTATAAAGTCCATTGTCCAGCATTGGATCCTCCAGTGGAAGAAGCTGGTAGCATGAATATGGTATGTGGCAAAGAATTTAGAGAAGTTAAGATGTGATCTGCACAGTTTTTGTAACAATTTAACTATATTGGTAAATCAGTGCAACCCCAAGTATGAATTCAGTTATACTGTATGAAGGTGCTTATATCAGTAGAGTTTATTTGGGTATATCAATATAAGCACCTGTACACTGGTAAACTGAATTTGCACTAGCAGGCTGTACTGTGATATTATATTGGTTTCTAACCCAATATAGTTAAATCAGTACAAATAGTTTTTGTACTTGCAGTTGTTTTTGTTTCTTTTGTTTAATTTTATTTTTTAAAACTGCAAGAGAATAATTCAGCAGGCGAAGAAGACAGCTAGATGTTCCAATGCAATGACTGAATAGAGCTTTTTACATAAATCAGTGCTTGCTGGAAATGGAAGCCAATTTGTCTGGTGAGATTTCATAGTATTCCAGTGAATAGCAATGTTCTAAATTAGTGTATAATTACATTATAAATCTAATATGCTTCACCTTAAGGCCGCCTTGGTTATAACCTTAATGCTGTCATGGCGATTTCTCAGTTCTCTCTGGCTACTTGCCCCTCTTATATCTCATAGAATTAAACACTGCTTAGGGTGCTCCAGGGTTGGTGGTGAGGAGGGGGAAGGCAGGTAAGGAAGAGAAGTTGGAGCAACCAAGTACATGGTATAGATGTTGAGCCAAGGTTGTTTCCACTGCAATAGTAGAAAACAACTCAATGGTATTAAAAAAAGGGGCGGGGGGGGGGCAGAGTGGAGTCTTTTGTTTTAAAATGCAGCTTTCAGCTGCAGCAGTAACAAGGTAACTGTCCTGAAATGTGGTAAGACTAGGGATGTGAATGTGTCTGTTTTCTACAGACCCCTTCTCTCCTCTACTTTTGTTATATAGCTACTTTGTTGAATATAGTATAGCTCTGAAGGTTACAGTTATAAAGAGGATCAGTTGCACTTCAAGCTGAAGTGACAGTGGCTTGTGTAATTAAAGTGGTTTAAACATTTCCATTCTAAATCTCATTTTTCAAGCCCTAGATTCTAGCCAAAGGGAAATTGTTCATAGTTCCAGGATAAACAGTTAAGCCATCTCTGAGAAAAAAGGCCAGACCCAAAATAATACTTTTCCCACTAGAAAACATTTTTGTAACGTTTTTCAAACAGTCCCAGTGTTGAAGTGTGTGGCAATAGAAAATTCAAATTTGGCATTGCAATGGTCCATAAGATGGAGAGAGACCTTTCAATGTCCTGATGAAAATACCTTTTGATTTGGCTGAGATCTGAGGATCTGAAAATTGCAGCTCATAGAGGCATAGTAGCACCATCAAACAATCACAGGCAGTTTTAATAACTGTCTCCCTTCATGTTGAATAGAAGATGTGCATAGCTTGTTTAGGACTGACGAAAAAGGATGAATCCTGCCTCAGTAACTGTTCTCATCTGGAATGCAGGGGGGAGGCATCTATAGCTGCTGTCCTCTGGATTTTTGTGTTGTAGGGTGATACTGCACCTTAAAGTAATTGAGCAGTAGATGAGCTAGGGCTGATAGCTGCTTATTAGTTGAGTCTTTGAACTAAACATAGGCGTGGGAAGTAGGGGTGTGGGGAGTGCTGCAGCACCCCCAGGTTTTGTGCCCAGGGTCCCAGCCACTGGCCCCGCGCTCCTGCCACCTGGGGTCCCGGCCCCATGCCCCTGTCGCCCAGGGTCCCGGCTGCCAGCCCTGCTACTGCCTGGGGGCTCGCTGCCGGCCCAGGGTCCCGCTCAGCCATGGCGTCCTGGCCACCAGCTCTGCATGCGGCGTCCCAGCCACTGGGAGCCCGGGGGCTCCACTGTCGTCTCCAGGGTCCCACCTGGCTGCTGGCCCTGCATGCATGATCCTGGGTGCCTTACCCCTGTTGACGTCTCCCACACACACACACGCTCCCAGAGCCATGGTCCTACTCCTGGCCTGAGCTCTAGGGAGCAGTGAGGGGCGTGGACAGTGGTAAGAGGGGTGCAGCTCATCATCCCCACTCCAAAAAGTGTTCCAGTGCCACTGGAACTAAACCCATGTTGGGTCCATGGATCATTTTTGTGGATTGCAGATCAGATGTGGATACAAATTTTGTATCCATGCAGGGCTCTCTATTTAAGAGTAATAGCTCGTGCCACTTTACAAACGGAGGTATTACATTTACTTTACTCATGCACATGTAAGTGAACTCGTTGAGTATAACTTTCCACTTGCAATGGTCTAAATGTGGACAAAAAGTCAAAATGAGGGATGAGAAGAAAAAGGTAGATCCAGACTCTTAAGATGAAATGTAGTACAGTCAGTGTCATGATAATACATGTGCAAGGCAATAATTTACGTTGATACACATGAGACGGGCACCTGGATATCAAGGTGATGGATGTACCAGAATTAGCTGGGGATAGATAAAGACCATGCCAGGTATGGCTGGAGGGGTAAAAGTAAGTATAAATCTGACATGAGAAATCTTTCATAAAGAAGGAGAGTTGAGATGTTGCAGTTGCTGTGTAGTAATAGCTTGTGTGAAATTACATGGGACTCTGGACAGAAGGGAAGTGGAAATGATTTCAAGCACCCTATCAAGCATTCTTCCATTCCCAAGGAAAGGTAATTCAATTTTAATATTTAATAATTACCCAAGGCAAATATTATTTGGAACATAAACACACTCAGATCACAAGACTAGTGGTAGTATGAGGACTGACAAAATAATAATTGCCTGCAACGAAACCTCCAACAGAAAATACAGATACACCGTCTCTAAATGAAATCTTGACTGTTGACATAAAAATGCTTTGTCTCAAAGAATGCCAGCCACTGCATTATCGGACACCTTGCTTCAGATCAAATAGAGTGTAACCCAAACAATTCACTTCCTTTGTTAGTATTAAGCAAGTAGCTACTGTTAGTCTTAAAATTAGGACTTTGCTTTTACTCTTGTACTACAGAAATTGAGACTAACACATTTTTGCACTTGTATTCCAGGGGAATTGAAACCTTTAGGAACAGTCTTCACTATTTCTATTTGTCAGTGAAAGGGGGAACTAATATCCCAGAAACCAAAGTCTTCTGATTGCTTCTCTTTCTGGAAAGTAATGTAGCAGGTGCGGGAGGAACATCTGGTGTGTGAATGCCATTAGCTGCTTTTCTGGTGTTTCTGCACACAAGCGAGGTATTCCTGCACATCATCTGGGGAACCAAGAATCAATGGGACTCTCTGGTGAATAGACTCAGGCTTCACATCCAGCACTGGCTCAGTCCCTGTGGTAGCCATCCCACCAGCCTGCTCAATGATAAAAGCCATGGGGTTGCACTCATAAAGGAGCCGGAGCTGTAAGAAAAGACAAAACACAGGACTGTTTGGGGGGAAATAACAACAAAGCACTTCTCAGAACTTAAAACTGTTGACCTTCCCTTTGTGATCTTGGCAAGCTTCTGCAAATCTCCCACTAGAAAATCTACCACAGTTCCATTGGGGTTAGCAATGATGGGAGCTCTGGTGTAGACCATCTGCCAGTGTTTTAACCACTGTGTTCTTCAACTCTGTCTCTTTTACAGCCTCTCTTTATTCAACCTTCTTTCAGGGTTTCTTTAACAATAACGTCCCCACTATAAGCATCATATTGCGTCATGTTCCCATCTCCCATTGTGAGATTTTTAAAACTTTCTCTTCTGGCTTCCATTGCAGCTTCTGCAGAAGCTGTAGAAGAATGCAGTGACATTGCATTGAAGTATCAATATTCCAGTGGAATTTTAGCATTTCAGAGCTCAGGTATACAGGTACCTGTATGGGACTCTGGACAGAAGGGAAGTGGAAATGATTTCAAGCACCCTATCAAGCATTCTTCCATTCCCAAGGAAAGGTAATTCAATTTTAATATTTAATAATTACCCAAGACAAGCACTGGCAATAGGTTTTGCCTGACTAACCAGGTTCCTGAGGCTGCATGCTGCAGTGAAGTGGTTGAACTAGCAAAGGTGACACCTTCCCACAGGCCTTGTTTGTTATCTTGAAGCTTGGACAGTTTTGTTTGCTCAGGATATTTTGGAGTCTGAAACCTGATGCTGACATTCTCAAGTTTCAGGAGTTGACTGTACAACTGTGGCTAAACCTGTTACAGTGAGTGGAGTTCATACAGACACTAACTCAATTTTTCCAAGTAACTATGGTTATTTTAGAAACGTATTTTCAGTTTAGTGTGAGGGGAATTAGGCCCGCAATACCTATTAGTGTTAACAGAAATTTCAGCCTAGATTTTCAGACATCATCATAAAAATGTTCCAGTTTGAAAGCAAATACATTTGGGTCATGTCAAAAAACTCTGAGGTGCTGGAACTAGGGGGATGGGCATGTGGCAGCGCCCCCTGGCTTGAAGTGGTTTCCATCATATGCAGGGTTTACAGTTTGGTTCAATGGCACTCAGTACCCTCACTATAAAAATTGTTCCAACGCCACTGAAAAAACTACAGTATGTAAAGGAGAATGAAAGGCTGGTGATTTAACAAGTTTTAGTTAATGGACTTGGTTTTGGGGGATCTGCTTGGATAAAACACTTATTTCTTCATTCTGTGCCTCAGGTCTCCATCTGCAGACTAGAGGTAATAATACTTTCCTATCTTACAGGCTTGTTAGGTATTGAGCCTATACAAATGTAAAGCACCCTCCCAAAAACATAATGTGCTTTGGGGAAATCGAGGTGTGTAATGGAATGCAATTAACCATGTAATAATTTCTGTGATCACCCTGTTTGCAGTAAAACCAGGGATTTCATACACCTAAGCAATGTACATAACATTAACTTTATTTCTGACTTATATTTAAAGTTTGTTTAAATGCCACTCTAAGTACACAATGTCCAGCTAACAAGTAATTTGGGGCAATGGCCTTTGTATTCTCTTTATGGCATGGTCAATTCGAAAAAGAAAACCTGCCACAAAACAGCAGTGGAGTCACTGCAGAATCATGTGGGGTTTGTCACTGCTTTGGTGTGACTGTAAACCTTAAGAATGCCATCCATCCGCCTCAACAGGTGGAAAACTAGATGGGACCAGCAGTGATTGGGATAGAACCCGTAGAAAGGGGAAGGAGAGCAGGCATTAGCTGGGGGGGATGCAGGGGTGCCCCTCCCCCCCCCCCAGAGTCTCTATTAATTCATTAGCCAACCAGGAGAGGAAGGGAACTGATTGGTCCTTTGCTCTCCCCTTTTATTAATATTAAATCCCAGGCCAGGCCTTGAGGAGCCTCTTTTTGCTCTATTTCAGAAACCCCTGCCACCTCCACCCCCTGTAACCATAGTTTAGGAGCTGTGTTTTACAGATACTACAGGTCTGACCGATCACCTGTTTAGAGTCAAAAAGGAATTTTTTCTTCCCATTATGGCCAAATTGGCATAGTCCAGTTTGGGGGGTTTTGTTTTTGTTTTGCCTTCCTCACAGCATCCTGGAGGCACAGTTAGGCTAAATAGGAATAGGATTTAGTAATTTGTGGTAGTATTTGGTAGGGATGTTAGTTTATTGGAACTTGTGGCTGGTTTCTAGTGTAATTACAAGGAATGGTTCTGGGAATTTGCTGATGGGCCTTGTGCTCATGGGATAGACTAGGACCCTGTGTCCTACAAAGGCTAAAGTCCTCCCGTTTTGGTACCCTCTGTCGCCCTCACAAGGGGATGGGGGTGGTGGGTGGTAGGATTCAGAAGAGGAAGCTGAGTCTACCCTGAGTGCCGGGTGATATGGCAGAGGCTTTAACCTCGCACTGGAATTACGTACAGGCAGTTAAGAGCCTGGGTGACAGGGCAGATAGTGCCTCTCCCCTGTGTTGGGTTTAATAAAGTTGTGGTCTGCTGCCTAAAATCCATCCGTGTGTCTGTCCTCATTCACCACCATGTCCAGGTCAAAAGCATACTTCTTGCTTTTGTTTGAAAAGCTGACCTCATCCAAGCTTCCCTCCTTTAAATGAATTAACGTTTTGTAATTCATTAGAGCATTGTGAACATCAGATCCAAAAAAAAATTTGGTTAACACTTCCAGTTTAAAAACAGCATCTTCAAATAGGTTGATACTGTTTATTTCAATATGAGAGACAAATATTAACTCTCATTGTATATATTGAGCACTCTACACTCTTGTTTTTATCTTGACCTGTAGGGAGTGGCATTTGTGCTATACTAGCCTGTTCATTTAGCATGCCCATCATGCACTTCAGCTCCAAAATCCATGGCGCAAATCCATCCCAGGTACAACGCCACAAATTTGCTCTCTCAGCACCCTGCCTATGCATTGGGGATGTTCACGGGGTAAAGGAGGATGACTGGGTAACAGTCGCCATGGTACTGTCTTTCCAACCGGAACAGCTGTGACTTTGGATGAATTGGTCAGTATGTACAAACCTACATGCTGAAGACAACACAAGTCTAGAAAAAGTGGTGGTGATCCTTTATGTCAAATTACAAGCCCTTTTCACTCTTAACTGAAAGTGACAGCCCCTTAATTTTTGTTTATAGTATAGCCATTAAAAGCAACCTCCCCTGCCCCCCCCCCCCAGTATTAAAAACCAAAATCTTGGAAGCTGACTGAGAAAACAGTGCCTCCAAAATTCTCGTGCCAGCACCTAAATACATCACCTTCACAGTGCACCCAGGCTTCCTGAATGAAAGCCTTGAGCTAATTGTCACCTCTCTCTCCTCCATGGCAACACAATCCAAGTCAGCCATTAGCTACTAGAGGCTAATTTACATGTGTAAATCCTTTAATTCCATATTTGTTCCTTGCTTTCTCTAAAGCTGTGAAATGAAATCACCTTGAAACGGCTATTGCCTTCCAAAAAGGAGCACAAAGTAAAGATTCAGCATATTTTTTATAGTATCTGGCACAGCTGTTCAGGTAAAATGAAGATCCCACATACACATACCCTTTGCTCAGAGGTCTAGAGCACAGTATGTATTTCACAATGTATGGTGTACGCTGCCTCTTGGTATATGCCTGCCAGTACATTCAGGATGTCCCTTTTTTTCTGTCTCCTATCTCATTCACTTCACAGCTGCTTTATATAATTTCCAAATATAAAGACTTAACCTGAAAAAGAAAATCTGTAAAGCTGGTTCTCTCTCACACACAACCACCTCACAAATTCTGTAATAAATGGCCGGTCCCTGCCAGAAGGCCTTTAACACTCAAACATTCTGAGCAAATCTGCCCCAGAAATCACATGACCTGGAATGGCTTAAAAACCAGTCTTGAAAATCATTACATAATGAGGGGATTCCTGCAGTGCCACCATGGTGAGAACCCAGCTATTTCCCTACTTCTATCAATTCCTCTTTTTCAACAAGGACTTATTGATTGGCCTCTTCAGATGAGTTTTTAGTCCCCTGTCCCAAGGTGGTTTGTATAGTTGGACAGATTATAATCATCATGATGACAGCTTGGCTAATTCTGTGGGACAAAATATATTTGTCCACACCAGTCAAGGAAACAGTGCTTTCTAGCTCAGTTGTATTTAAACATGATTTCTGGTAGCACAGTGTTATTCAGCGAGGACAAGGCTGCGGAGTCTGTATAGCAGACCCAGTCTATGTACCATGAGACTCAGGCCTTGTCTACATGGTGGTGTAATGTGCTTTATGGGGGGTGTGATATCTAAAAGGCACTAATATGTTGCACATTAATTGGTCTGTGTGGATATTGGTGGTCCATACTAAAGATTCCCTAGTTCTTTTTAATGTAGTACTATTTCAAATAGCAGTACATGAAGGTGAATCAGCAGAATCTATATGGACCAATTAATGTGCAAGAGGTTAGGGTGCTTTACAAGTTACACCCCTGCCATTACTCCACCTTGTAGACAAGTCCTAAGTCCTACACTATTTTGAATACTTTCCCAGGGGAGCCATTGTGATGTTTCACTCTAGTGGTTGGCTCCAGTTACTATAACTGCTTGATCCTCACTACCAAGTAAAAAAACTATTTTTAGGTCAAATGGTAGAGGCCTGTGTGTTCAGTGCTGTGTTCCAGGTTCAATCCTCATTGGAGACTGCGAATCAAAAGTTGGCTCCACTGAAGGATGTGTGCATAGTTTGTAACACGATTAGTTTAAAAACACAAAAATAAGTGGGATGACTCTGAAAAGTCAGAAGTATGTTAGATGGGACCATTGTTGAGTTGGGCCAAATCTAATTTGTAAAAACTTTGGCCTTAGTGTCCCTTAATATACTCCCAAACCAGCTCAAGAAAAGCTATATTTAAGCCATTGTGCATAAATTAGAACCATTCTGACACACTCTGGAAAAACAGTGGTATTAGGTACAGTAAGTTCAGAAGACAAACAGTTTACCTTTCCCTTAGGACTCTTCTGGTTAGCTGGGTACATGAATATCCCACCATACATCAGGGTGCGATGAACATCAGCCACCATCGAGCCCACATATCTAGAGCCATAGGGTGCACTGCCATCCTGTAAAACAGATGGAGACCCTGAAGCTAAAGCTGTTATATCTGCCAGGCTGGGTAGCTGGCAAAACTGCAATGAATCATTGCCCTCTTCATTTTGTTACAAGGCAGAAATCAAAATTCCTGACCACCTATGGGACACTCTAAATGTTGGCAGGCCTACAGTTTGACACACCCTTTCTCAAAAGGATAGTCTCTTGTAAAATGTAATAATGTCCATACAACCCCAAAGTAGCTGCAGCAGTTTTTAAACTCTCCCTGGGTAGTATGAGCCACTCATGGTAACTTTGTGGCATCACACGTGTGTGCAGTTTGAGTACATGAGAACCTCATGCCATCTTTCCACTTTCCCTGCTTGCTCTGTCTTGAGAGCCAACATGGACTGAGACTGGTGATAACCTTGCTTCCTCATGTGATCAGAAAAATGGGTGTAGTCAGGTGCTTCCAAGGATGGAGATTCAGGAAGAGCAGAGCAAGGGGGATCTATCCTTCTGCTACACCCTGAGGATTCTTCTTGTTTTGCTCCCAAATAGGTGCTATGATTTTAGGATTGTTGCAGACTTATTCTGGAGATTAGTTGAGGGACTGAGGATTATTTGAGAGTATGGTTTTGTTTGCTTTTAGCTTTTTGGAAGGCAGTTTATCACAGAAAATGTCATTTTTGGGAGAGAAGTAAGAAAATGTATGCCTATTTAAAATCTGGGGGACATGGGCTCCCCCAGTGCATCACCTCTGATCTCCTGCCTCTATCAGTATACACCTTCCAACTTCTGCAAGAAATGAGGCAGGGCTTTTACAGACAAATCTCCTTCATTGCACAATCCTTATTCATCCCCAGAGCCAGGTCCATCCTGTGTACTGAATGGGGTAAGTGGTCCTGTTGTTAAAAATAGTACGTGATCAAGTAATTTAAAGACTATATCACAATCCATAAGCACCAGGGACCCAAATTCTGCACAGGCAGCCTTAAAAGAATAGGAAATGCCAGGATTCTATTCTAACTTTTGGGTGCTTGACTTTGCAACCTTAATAATGTCCTTTTTAAGAAGAAGAATTTTTGTGTATTAGGACATAGAGGACCACATTCCACTAGTGTGTTTGAGTTATCTGAGTTATGTGATGATCATAAGGACAGTATATGGGATTAGGAAGGACAGCTGGGAATCCTGCTTCCTCTATCAGGGTTTGGATGTTTCCTACCATGATAGAAACATAACTGATACAGACGCAGCTGAATGCATGATCATGCTACAAATAATAGAAAATAGAAACTGCTTCATTTTAGTGCAGTTGTCATCTGCATCACAAGGACCTGGCAAACAGACAAAAGCAAACCTTTGACTTCCCTTTAGGAAAAAGACACTTGCAGATGTACATTCAGTGTTCACTTTAGTTTTCAAGTTTTACTTCTTGTTTGATCCCTTATGATACAGCCTGCCATTCTCACCGCTGCAATTGAATATCTCGTATATTTCTCTTTCAGATGAGAAAGCTAATGTATGCTGCATGATGGCTGGAACAATGCCCAGATTTCCCTCTCAGACAAAGATAACAGAGACATGAATGCCCGTGAAATAAATTTTTTCCTCTGACTAGACTCTCAGAAATGCCTAATTTGTATGTGCACCTGGAGAGCATTTGATATTGGCTCAGTGGGTCCTAATGAGAGGGAGAGATTTCCAAGATTCCAGCAGCATATGCATGACCACTGAGTACCCCCTTTTCCCTCACCCCCCCAAACTGCTGCGATATTTTCAACAGTGGGGTGACGGAAGCAGGCATCCGTGCATGCCAGCCTCACACTCGGTGCAGCCCACAGTATGTATTACAAGAGGCAGCAGTGCTGGCTACTGTGCCTCACAGAAAACTGGATGCCAAGTCCCCCACCCAAACTGCTGCTCTGACATGATGCTGCCATGGGCTATGAGCCACACCAAGCATCAGTCACTCACTCATACAGATGCCCACTTCTGCCTCCCCACTGTTGGAAAAACTGTAGTATTAGCTAGTTTTTCTATTTCCAAGCAGTCCGTGAAATCACAATTTTCACAGGGCCCTATTTACGAGTCTCTTATGCTTAAACCAAATGGATTAAAATGGTTCAAAACATGAAGGCCGTGTAACGTTTTCCCACAGTATTATATCAGCTTTCTCCTCAACCTCTGCTCTATTCATCTGTGTGGCACCTGTTTTCTTCTACAGAGGTATTGTTAGATGCACGGCTAGAAAGAAGATCTCCTAGGAAGGAGGACATAGCTCTGGCTTAAAGTAAAATTTGGTTTCCCTAGCTCTCTTCTTATGTACAAAGCTTGTTTCCTCCATAACACTGCCCCTAGTGGAGGGCATGTTAGAATCAGCATACTCCTTTACACACACTACAGGAAGCTCTTCAGATGGCAGCTTGCTATTCAAGCTTGAGTAGCAGACAGAGGTTTTGTGATGGTTAACAAGAGATTTAGGTTTACTCTGGACTTTTCCTCCCTCCCTGCATCCCCGCACCGTTGCCATGGGAGAGTAGTCACATTCCAGAAGAGAGGGATTGGTCAAGGGCCCTTGCATTTGACTTTGAAGCAAGAAGTGTGCCCTTCTAAAGGAAGGTGAGATGCTGTGATGGAACTGAAAAGAGAAAAGGGGTAATAGAGATCAATGGGACAGGCAAATGAAAGGTAATTGAAATAATTAGTTAACTAACTTAGTTATTAATATGGCCTAGCAAAGCAATAAGAACATGCACAGAGGCAAATATAATGTCCTTTTTGAAGCAATGTTCTATGTTTCATTTAGGAATCTTTGAGAAACAGTAGACAATTTTCCTTCAGCCTCCTCCCCTGCCTCCAAACTTGGTATTGCCCAGGACCTTCATTTTTATCTTAGTCTTTGATTTTATATTTGCATTTTGTATCTACATCTGTATGAGTGCATTTTTTGGCATCTAACGGTCTAATAACCTGATTTGCAGGCTCAGCCCTGGTCTACACTAGGACTTTAGGTCGAATTTAGCAGCGTTAAATTGATGTAAACCTGCACCCGTCCACACAATGAAGCCCTTTATTTCGACTTAAAGGGCTCTTAAAATCAATTTCCTTACTCCACCCCGACAAGTGGATTAGCGCTTAAATCGACGTTGCCGGCTCGAATTTGGGGTACTGTGGACACAATTCGATGGTATTGGCCTCCGGGAGCTATCCCAGAGTGCTCCATTGTGACCGCTCTGGACAGCACTCTCAACTCAGATGCACTGGCCAGGTGGACAGGAAAAGAACCGCGAACTTTTAAATCTCATTTCCTGTTTGGCCAGCGTGGCAAGCTGCAGGTGACCATGCAGAGCTCATCAGCACAGGTGACCATGATGGAGTCCCAGAATCGCAAAAGAGCTCCAGCATGGACCGAACGGGAGGTACGGGATCTGATCGCTGTTTGGGGAGAGGAATCCGTGCTATCAGAACTCCGTTCTAGTTTTCGAAATGCCAAAACCTTTGTCAAAATCTCCCAGGGCATGAAGGACAGAGGCCATAACAGGGACCCGAAGCAGTGCCGCGTGAAACTGAAGGAGCTGAGGCAAGCCTACCAGAAAACCAGAGAGGCGAACGGCCGCTTCAGGTCAGAGCCCCAAACATGCCACTTCTATGATGAGCTGCATGCCATTTTAGAGGGTTCAGCCACCACTACCCCAGCCGTGTTGTTTGACTCCTTCAATGGAGATGGAGGCAATACGGAAGCAGGTTTTGGGGACGAAGAAGATAGCTCACAGCAAGCAAGCGGAGAAACCGGTTTTCCCGACAGCCAGGAACTGTTTCTCACCCTGGACCTGGAGCCAGTACCCCCCGAACCCACCCAAGGCTGCCTCCTGGACCCAGCAGGCGGAGAAGGGACCTCTGGTGAGTGTACCTTTTAAAATACTATACATGGTTTAAAAGCAAGCATGTGAAAGGATTACTTTGCCCTGGCATTCGTGGTTCTCCTAGATGTACTCCTAAAGCCTTTGCAAAAGGTTTCTGGGGAGGGCAGCCTTATTGTGTCCTTAATGGTAGGACACTTTACCACTCCAGGCCAGTAACACGTACTCGGGAATCATTGTAGAACAAAGCATTGCAGTGTATGTTTGCTGGCATTCAAACAACATCCGTTCTTTATCTCTCTGTGTTATCCTCAGGAGAGTGAGATATAATTCATGGTCACCTGGTTGAAATAGAGTGCTTTTCTTCAGGGGACAGTCAGAGGAGCCCATTACTGCTGGGCTGTTTGCCTGTGGCTAAACAGAAATGTTCCCCGCTGTTAGCCACAGGGAGGGGGGAGGGTTGAGGGGGTAGCCACGCGGTGGGGGGAGGCAAAATGCGACCTTGTAACGAAAGCACATGTGCTATGTATGTAATGTTAACAGCAAGAATTGCCCTGAAAGAGTGTAGCCACTGATTTATAAAATGTGTCTCTTTAAATACCGCTGTCCCTTTTTTTTTCTCCACCAGCTGCATGTGTTTCAATGATCACAGGATCTTCTCCTTCCCAGAGGCTAGTGAAGCTTAGAAAGAAAAAAAACCGCACTCACGATGCAATGTTCTCTGAGCTCATGCTGTCCTCCCACACTGACAGAGCACAGACGAATGCGTGGAGGCAAATAATGTCAGAGTGCAGGAAAGCACAAAATGACCAGGAGGAGAGGTGGCGGGCTGAAGAGAGTAAGTGGCGGGCTGAAAGAGAGGGCTGAAGCTCAAATGTGGCGGCAGCGTGATGAGAGGAGGCAGGATTCAATGCTGAGGCTGCTGGCGGACCAAACCAGTATGCTCCAGTGTATGGTTGAGCTACAGCAAAGGCAGCTGGAGCACAGACTGCCACTGCAGCCCCGAGTAACCAACCGCCCTCCTCCCCAAGTTCCATAGCCTCCACACCCAGACGCCCAAGAACGCGGTGGGGGGGCCTCCGGCCAACCAGCCACCCCACCACAGAGGATTGCCCAAAAAAAGAAGGCTGGCATTCAATAAATGTTAAAGTTGTAAACTTTTAAAGTGCTGTGTGGCATTTTCCTTCCCTCCTCCACCACCCCTCCTGGGCTACCTTGGTAGTCATCCCCCTATTTGTGTGATGAATGAATAAAGAATGCATGAATGTGAAGCAACAATGACTTTATTGCCTCTGCAAGCGATGATTGACGGGAGGAGGGGTGGGTGGTTAGCTTGCAGGGAAGTAGAGTGAACCAAGGGGCGGGGGGTTTCATCAAGGAGAAACAAAGAGAACTTTAACACCGTAGCCTGGCCCGTCATGAAACTGGTTTTCAAAGCTTCTCTGATGCGTACCACGCCCTCCTGTGCTCTTCTAACCGCCCTGGTGTCTGGCTGCGCGTAACCAGCAGCTAGGCGATTTGCCTCAACCTCCCACCCCGCCATAAACGTCTCCCCCTTACTCTCACAGATATTGTGGAGCACACAGCAAGCAGTAATAACAGTGGGAATATTGGTTTCGCTGAAGTCTAAGCGAGTCAGTAAACTGCACCAGCGTGCCTTTAAACGTCCAAATGCACATTCTACCACCATTCTGCACTTGCTCATCCTGTAGTTGAACAGCTCCTGACTACTGTCCAGGCTGCCTGTGTACAGCTTCATGAGCTATGGCATTAAGGGGTAGGCTGGGTCCCCAAGGATACATATAGGCATTTCAACATCCCCACAGTTATTTTCTGGTCTGGGAATAAAGTCCCTTCCTGCAGCTTTTGAAACAGACCAGAGTTCCTGAAGATGCGAGCGTCATGTACCTTTCCCGGCCATCCCACATTGATGTTGGTGAAACGTCCCTTGTGATCCACCAGAGCTTGCAGCACTATTGAAAAGTACCCCTTGCGGTTTATGTACTCGGCGGCTTGGTGCTCCGGTGCCAAGATAGGGATATGGGTTCCGTCTATGGCCCCACCACAGTTAGGGAATCCCATTGCAGCAAAGCCATCCACTATGACCTGCACATTTCCCAGGGTCACTACCCTTGATATCAGCAGATCTTTGATTGCCTAGGCTACTTGCATCACAGCAGCCCCCACAGTAGATTTGCCCACTCCAAATTGATTCCCAACTGACCGGTAGCTGTCTGGCGTTGCAAGCTTCCACAGGGCTATCGCCACTCACTTCTCAACTGTGAGGGCTGCTCTCATCTTGGTATTCATGCGCCTCAGGGCAGGGGAAAGCAAGTCACAAAGTTCCATGAAAGTGCCCTTACGCATGCGAAAGTTTCGCAGCCACTGGGAATCGTCCCAGACCCGCAACATTATGCGGTCCCACCAGTCTGTGCTTGTTTCCCGAGCCCAGAATCGGCGTTCCACAGCATGAACCTGTCCCATTAGCACCATGATGCATGCATTGGCAGGGCCCAGGCTTTCAGAGAAATCTGTGACCATGTCCTGATCACTCACGTGACCGCGCTGACGTCGCCTCCTCGCCCGGTATCGCTTTGCCAGGCTCCGGTGCTGCATATACTGCTGGATAATGCGTGTGGTGTTTAATGTGCTCCTAATTGCCAAAGTGAGCTGAGCGGCCTCCATGCTTGCCTTGGTATGGCGTCCGCACAGAAAAAAGGCACGGAATGATTGTCTGCCGTTGCTCTGACGGAGGGAGGGGCGATTGACGACACGGCTTACAGGGTTGGCTTCAGGGAGCTAAAATCAACAAAGGGGGTGTCTTTACATCAAGGAGTATTTCAGGCAGGACTTCACGGAGGGTTCCAATAAGAAATGGTGCACCTAAGTTATCGTTCTTATTGGAACAAGAAGGTTAGCCTGGCCTCTGATTGATACATGGCTAGATTTACCTCGCTGCACCTTCTCTGTGAGTGACTGCAGTGTGACCTAGAAGAATGAGTCCCCTAGACGGGGGACGGGGGGAAGCAAATGAATACAGAACAAATCTGGTCTATTTCTTGTTTTGATCCACTCCATCTATCTTTTACATCTTTGGCTGGCAGCAGACGGTGCAGAAGGACTGCATGCCATTCACATCTCATGGCTGCTCAACAGAAGTTGGTACGGTACGACTGCTAGCCATCCTCATCTCTTGCCTGCCTGGCAGAAGATGATACAATACGACTGCTAGCAATCCTCATCTCTTGCCTGCCTGGCAGAAGATGGTACAGTACGACTGCTAGCAATCCGTATCGCCTGCCTGCTCACCATAAGATGGTTCAATAGGACTGACTGCAGGACTAAAGAGAATGACCTGGTCAAGTCACTCCAAATTTAGTCCCTGAGCCCATGTCTGTCCAGGTGCTCCCAGCCGACGTGGCCAGGAGCACCTCGGACATGACGATGACGGCTACCAGTCGTACTGTACCGTCTGATGCCACAAGGCAAGGGGTTGCTGCTACTGTGTAGCAATGCCGTACCGTGTCTGCCAGCACCCAGGAGTCATAGGGTGACGGTTACCTGAGCAGGCTCCATGCTTGCCATGGTATGGCGTCTGCACAGGTAACTCAGGAAAAAAGGCACGAAACGATTGTCTGCCCTTGCTTTCACGGAGGGAGGGAGGGAACGGGGGCCTAACGATATGTACCCAGAACCACCCATGACAATGTTTTAGCCCCATCAGGCATTGGGATCTCAACTCAGAATTCCAATGGGCAGCGGAGACTGCGGGAACTGTGGGATAGCTACCCACAGTGCAAAGCTCCAGAAGTCGACTCTAGCCTCGGTACTGTGGAAGCGCTCCGCCGAGTTAATGCACTTAGAACATTTTCTGTGAGGACACACACACTCGAATATATAAAACCGATTTCTAAAAAAACGACTTCTATAAATTTGACGTTATTCCGTAGTGTAGACATACCCTCAGTCAAGTAGCAAGATGTCTAAAAACCTTTGCATTTATGCCTGAGAAATTGCGCCTACAATTATTTGCATGTGCAACATTGCAGGCTGCTTTTCTGAATTAGGCCCTACATCTTGTTTGCTTCAACTTCAAGCTAATGCAGCCTGAAAAGATTGTACGGGCAGAAGCTGCCTGTTTTTTCCATTATTTTTTTAGGAGGCTCTCTGGAGCCCAAACCCTGCAGCAGGGATGAAGAAACGCCTCTCTTCGAGTGGAAGTGATGGCACCATAATGGCTTGGGCCTTTCCTGAGGAACTGTTGGTCATGCTGAACTGCCCCTAGGTTTTCTGATGTCAGCTAAAATATTCAGTAATGACTGGGCTGAAACCTTTTATAGGACCTTCCCCAGAAGATGTGAGTAGTGACTGCATTGACACAGTATTACCTTTTAAAGTTTAAAAAACAACCTGCTGCTAACTTGATGTTTTAGTTTAGAAAAAAGAAAAGGAGTACTTGTGGCACCTTAGAGACTAACCAATTTATTTGAGCATGAGCTTTCGTGAGCTACAGCTCACTTCATCGGATGCATACCGTGGAAACTGCAGCAGACTTTATATGTACACAGAGAATATGAAACAATACCTCCTCCCACCCCACTGTCCAGCTGGTAATAGCTTATCTAAAGTGATCATCAGGTTGGGCCATTTCCTGCACAAATCCAGGTTCTCTCACCCCCCTCCCAAAAACCACACACACAAACTCACTATCCTGCTGGTAATAGCTCATCCAAAGTGACCATTCTCCCTACAATGTGCATGATGGAAATGGCCCACCTTGATTATCATGCACATTGTAGGGAGAATGGTCACTTTGGATGAGCTATTACCAGCAGGATAGTGAGTTTGTGTGTGTGGTTTTTGGGAGGGGGGGTCAGAGAACCTGGATTTGTGCAGGAAATGGCCCAACTTGATTATCATGCACATTGTGTAAAGAGTTGTCACTTTGGATGGGCTATCACCAGCAGGAGAGTGAATTTGTGTGAGGGGGTGGAGGGTGAGAAAACCTGGATTTGTGCTGGAAATGGCCCAACCTGATGATCACTTTAGATAAGCTATTACCAGCTGGACAGTGGGGTGGGAGGAGGTATTGTTTCATATTCTCTGTGTATATATAAAGTCTGCTGCAGTTTCCACGGTATGCATCCGATGAAGTGAGCTGTAGCTCACGAAAGCTCATGCTCAAATAAATTGGTTAGTCTCTAAGGTGCCACAAGTACTCCTTTTCTTTTTGCGAATACAGACTAACACGGCTGTTACTCTGAAACCTTAGTTTAGAAACATTTCCAGTAGCCATTCTGCAACAATAGCACAGAGCAAGGTCTAACCAATATGTTTTTGTAAATGAGGTTTGAAGTCCTGCAGGATTTATTGAGTCACATGATAGAACTGTGTGACAAGTTACAGATACTCCACAGAGATGTTGCCAGAGTGCTGGTGAAATGTCATTGGAGTGCACTGTTTGATGTTTTTCTCACCCTTTGAAATTTAAACATATGAAACAATGATACATGGCGTTTCCTGGTTTGTTTTTGGGTAGCTTTGCTAATTGAACAAACAGTTTACACTTTTTTCAACTGTCAGGTGGCTTTATAAAAAGTAGATTATGTTTTGATCTGGGGGATTGAAGGATTCATATATAAAGAAGCAATTTTCAGGCAGCAAGAAGGCTGTAAACTGTGTTCCACTTCCCTCAAAACTAGACTAAATTCCTCATTTCTGTTTCAAATAAAACCACAAACAGATGCACAGCTTTCTAGTACGACATATCTCATAGTAACAACTTCGAGCAATAAAGCAGAGTTCTTGGGCAGACAGAGCAAAACTACCTGTTTTGTTCAGTGTAGCAAGATGTAAGTTTACAGCCTACCAAGAAGTCCTCACAGAAATATGACCTGCAACCTTATCTAAAGATGTGATCCCATTGGACTTGACAAACTAAGCAGGATCAGTTTGTGCCATTGCTTGGAGAGCTCGTGTCCAAGTACAACACATGGTGCTACAGTAGGGTTACCATATTTGAACATTCAAAAAAAGAGGACACTCCATGGGGGATTGGTGTATTTGCTCGTGCCCCCCTCCCCAACCCATTCCAACCCCTTCCCTAAAGTCCCTGCCCCAACTCCACCCCCTCCCTGCCCCATTGAATTCCTTCCCCAAATCTCTGGCCCCTCCTCCTCCTCCCCTGAGCATGCCACGTTCTCTCTTCTCTCTCGAATGATCAACATTCACTCTTTCTTGAATGATCAATTCTTCTTTGGGGAAAAATAATAATGGCAAAATCCTGGACATTTTTAGATATTTAAAAATTCCTCCCAGACAGCAATTTAAGAACCAAAAAGCCGGACATGTCCGGGAAAATACGGATGTATGGTAACCCTAGGTACAGGAAGTAACTAGGAAGTAGGCTCTTGTGCTACTGTGCCATTACTGAACCAGTGCCTCAGTATTGCGCTATGGGGAAGTTTGCTACTGGATGCACTGACTTTTAGATGAGACATAAATCAGATGTCTTCTTTTGCAAGAGTAGGGTTAATTCTAGCATCCTAACAAAATTCAAACTTGAGTAATTATAGTTGACCACATTTTGAAGTGACTTGTTGGACATACACAGACACATTTTCAAAGAACTTTTCAAAGCTGCACAAGCAAAATGTGTGCATGTACCTGTTCATCCTCACAAAGGGCTCAGTCATGCCTTATTAGGCACTGATCCATGCTGAAGGCATTGCAGGTGGGGAGTTCCAGAGGCAGCAGAATGTAGAGGGTAGCATGCCCTCAGCTATACCTGTTCAGGTGGTACAATGTACACCCAGTATGGGGGAAGGGGGGCATGGTCATGAGTCCACCTCTTTGCCTTTGGAGTTGTATTATGCCCCAGGAGGTGTTAGTCTTTGCACTTTGCGTAGCATGGGATTTGCAACTGTACCCTGCTGCTGCACAAGGGTGCAGCTGTGTGGGAGGATTTTTACACCCTGCCCTTCAATGCAACCTACTGAGCAGCAGTGAGAAATCTAGCCCAAAATGGATAATTGTGCATATTATTAATTTAGGTGCATATTCAAATATATTTGAAAATAGGTGCATGTCCAAATTTTGCATGCATAATTTCAGAGGTTCTTTAAAACTCTGGCTCTTATTATCTAGCACATCTTCCTCCAAACTATTACACAATGCCGATGAGTTTGGCTACAATAAAAGTTGAAGTTATAAAGGATTTTCAGAGTAGTGGAAACCAAAGTACTTTAGCCATGTAGCCAGAATGTACCAGGTTGTAGATAATGTTGACAAGGAGTTTAATTCAGCAAAACAGTCAAACCTATCCTCCTCTTTGAGCCTACTGTGCTCAAAGCAGCATGAGCCCTTGCTGCATTAGCTGATTACGAAGCGGATATTTTTCTCACCTCAGGGAATTTCTTCCTTTGTAAATACTCTGTCATCGCAGGATCAAAGTACTTAGCATAACCCTCATTGATACTGTAGATCTTCCCTTTCTTCTTGATTTTCACATCTTTATCCACCAGAACAAATTCACCAAGAGCCTACAGAAGAATGAGGTGCACCAATTACTAGCAGGAAGCAGGATACTTTGTATATACTCTATCAGAGATGCCACGCTAAAGGAAAGTTTGAAAAACTTTAGCACAATGTGGTCCTTTAATCAGCATTCATTTATATGACTTGTCATTGTTTCAAACAGATCACAAACAGGAAAGCTGCTTTAGGTACAGGAAGATTTGCCATATCTTCAATGTGAACAAAAATAATCTCAGAAATAATTGTCATAAAGTGAATACAGTCCAGTATTATGAACCCCAAATCTTAAAAAGATGAGTCAGACCTGAAAATGTCATGAGATTGGATCAAAATCATGATTTTTTTTAAAATTGATTTTTGGGGGTTGTCTTGATTTTTGAACTGCCCCTGTGCACCCCCACTGTATGTATATGTTAACTAGAGTGTTGTTAACATCCCAAATATATTGAATAGACTGATCTTGGCCACTGCTGCATGAGATCTCCAAATCATCAGGCAGCCAGGGAGCTTCCAGCTTCTCCCCAAACCTGAAAATTCTAATTAATGCAGTGTCCTCCCTCAGCCCTCACATCAATTCTGTCCCCAGTCTGTCTGCTTGGTGTGATCTCTTCAGTAAGTTACTTTTAGAGCTTAGATATATTGGCCTTCACTGAAGTCAATGCACAATGGTTGGCCTCCATGGAGCCAAGATTTCGTCCATTAATTAAATAAAACCTTTATATTGTTACCTATCTTGTGCTGACTTTCCAAATGAGCCATCTCCTTTCTCCGACTCAAGCTCCTTGGACAATGCTGTCTGGGCTTCTGGTGTCTGATGTGGAGAAGCAGTCTACAGTTTTATGGGCACTTTTTTTATTTGCAATATTTGAGTGTGCAAGTTAAAGCACTCAAAGTAAAGCTACCTAACCTGCAGATGCAGTCAGGAAGTTAGGGATATAAGTGTGTATGAATTATACCCATAATTAGTATTTGCATTTGCTGAATTAAAAGCTAAACTGAGGCTTTTTTTAAAAAAAGAGGGTAGGGCCCTTAATTGGAGGCAAAGGCACTGCCCATGATGAATTTTCTTAAACATTTCCCAGTGTAGGGCTATGATGTAGTCTTAAGATAATACACAGGGGCAAGGTCTCAATTTCTTCCCTTCCACGAATGGGACTGCAGAACTGCAGCCAAGGTGGTTTTGTATTACCAAGTACCAGTAGGACAAGGACAGATTAAAATAGGACAAGCTCAAAAGGGAGAATGCCACAAATAATATTCTCTAGACCAGAGAGGAATGAGAAAATAAGTAAAGCCTAGCACATGAAATACGAAAAGGCAGAAAGAATGTATATAGTAATATCTTGTGTATATACCGGATCTAGCATGAAGCAGTCCACTCCTTGCCCGGTAGAAAGAGCCACCAGGGTAGCACTGCCATACAAAGCATAGCCTGCTGCGACGATATTTTGTCCTGGCTGCAAGGCATCCTTTTCAGAGGGCTCATCTTCTGTTGTCTGAGGAAAGAATTATCACGATATTGAAGGTTGAGATCTTAATGGAAAACAATAAAAGCAGAACTCCAATTTAAATCAAAAACTGTTAAAATAACCAATGTCTTTTAGGGTTGCCAGGTGTCCAGTGTTCGACTAGAACACCCGGTCAAAAAGGGACCCTGGCGGCTCCGGTCAGCACCACCCACTGGGCCATTAAAAGTTGGGTCGGTGGCACAGCAGGGGCCCAAGGCTAAGGCAGGATCCCTGTCTGCCCTAGCTCCATGCTGCTCCCGGAAGCAGTCGCCAGGTCCCTGCAGGCCCTAGACTCATGGGTGGCCAGGGAGGCTCCGCGTGCTGCCCCCGCCCCGAGGGCCATCTCTGCAGCTCCCACTGGCCTGGAACCACAACTAATGGGAGCTGTGGGAGTGGCACCTGCCTTAGCATGCACCTTTCCACAACAGCAAGCTTTGTTATTTATTATTGGTTTTGCATGCTGTGGTTTTAAAATCAGTTTTCAGTCCTCTAGGACTTATTTATAAACCACCATACACGTTTATGGCATTATATAAATAACAATGTGAGTGTTCCTATTCAAGCCATGTAAAATGCTTTACTGTTTTTACAAACATTAATATTAACCACCCTATGTACGGGGTACTATTTACTCTTCTTTAGAGTAATATCTTCTTTAGAGATCTATAAGCAACATGTGAGTTAAATTCATAGATGGTATTGAACTGGCAGGAACTGCAAATGTCCATGAGGACAGAGACATAATTCAAAAGGACCTAAAGAGAGCAGAAAACAACAGCAGAAAAAAAGGCAAGATGATATATCAAGCTGGGCAATGACTATTCAAATGCTGTTATTCAAGGAAAAAGGAGAAACTTGAGAAGCCATAATGCTGAAAAAGACCTAAGGGTGATAGGGAACAGCAAATTAGCATGAATTCATTATGCCATGTGGCAGCAAGATAGACCAGTAGAATTTTGGGCTGTATTCACAGAAATGTCACATCATGGAGAAGAGAGGGGGTGTTGACATAGTCCTTCTCCATAGACGGTACGTAAAATTGCATTTATCTCTAGATACCACATTGACAGAAATATATTTACAGACTAGAGGGAGTTCAGAGAAAAACAACAAAAATTATCAGGGGCTGGAGGGCCTGACTTTAGAGAAAAGATTGAAAGAGAAATATTTACAGCTTGGCTAGGAAATGACAGAGGTAGGGACATAAGTCTATGAATGTTTTGTAGGGTGTTCAAATCGATACAAAAGCAGTAATTGTATTAAATTAATAAAGGGAAAATTTGGGCTAAACACTAGAAAAACTTCTTGATAGACATATTAGACTTCGGAATAGTCTTCCTATGGGGAAGTGATGGGGCCCCATTGCTTGGGAGATTTAAAAGTCCACTAGACAAAACATTACCAGCTATACTTTAGTAGGACACACCAGTATTCTGGCAGGGAGGCAGAGTAGTTGATATAATAATTTTTCCCCAATCTCTGAGATCTACGTTTTCTGACTCTGTGATAAATGCTGAGAATTGTTATTCTCTATGCTCATTCAGGGTGAAATAGTGCCATTGATTTCACTGGGGCCAGGATTTCATGCTGTCTCCCAAGTTTTCCAAAAAGTTTGTCAATTGTGGTGGCTTTTTTGTGATGACACCTGTTTAGTAGGAACTTGAACGAGACCTTTAGTCACACTTCTGAGGTCCTCGTTTAGCTTTAACTCATTCCTGACTCAGCCAAACAAACTCCCATGGATCGGAATGGGATTTCATTAGTTTGAGTAGAAGTTGAACAACAACTTAAGGATTTCACCCTAGCTAGGGTTTGTCAAAAATTTACTATTAAAATTGCTCCGGATGCGAGCGTTCCTGCCAGTGAGGATCCCCCCAGGCCCTCCCCATGATACCTCTCACCATCACAACGTTGAACACCTGGGGTTGTAGGATGGCTCTCCGCAGGTCCCAGGTGCTCTCCTTCCTTCGGGAGGGAGAGTACTCTGTGATTTTCCTGCAGAAGACCCATACAGATCCGACCGCCAAAGATAGTTGGCGGCTGGAGTGGGGGGACAGGGTCTACTTTAGCCATTCCACTATTCGACAGGCTGGAGTGGCGACCCTGTTCTCCCCTGACCTACGGCCCGAGGTGCTAGGGGTCGCCGAGGCCGTGCTGGGTCGCCTGCTGCATCTCCAGGTCCGTATAGAGGGGCTCGTGGTTAACCTCGTTAATGTCTATGCCCTGACATCGGACCCAGAGCGGCTGCAATTCTATCAGCAGGCGTTCACCTCCCTCGGCACCTTAGATTCTCACAAGTGCCTGGTCCTGGGAGGGGATTTTAATACCACCCTCGAGGAGCGAGACCGCTCGGGGACCGAGCAGAGCCCGGCCGCCGTGGACACCCTCCGGGAGATAGTTGAACATCACTCCCTAGCGGACATCTGGCGTGACCACCACCCGGATGACACTTCCATGTTCACCTTTGTCCGGGTGGAAGCCCATCGGTCGAGCCACTCCCGGTTGGACTGCATTTATCTATCACACTTCCATCTCTCATGAGCCCACTCCTCCAGCATTCGGCTGGCCCCATTTTCTGACCATCACCTAGCCACCGTGACAGCCTCCCTCAGTGCAGAGAGGCCGGAGCCAGCCTATTGGCATTTTAACAACAGCCTGTTGGAGGATGAGGGCTTCGTGACATACTTCCGGGAACTCTGGATGGCCCGGCGAGGGCAGTGGCGTGCCTTTCCCTCGGCGTGACAATGGTGGGACCTGGGGAAGGTGCGCGCCCAGCTTTTCTGCCGCAACTACACCCAGGGCACCAGCGGACGGAGAAATGTGGCAATAGAGCAGTTGGAACGGGAGGTCTTAGAGCTGGAGAGGCGTCTGGCCGCCAACCCCGAAGACCCGCTCCTCTGCAGAGCATGCCGGGAGAAGCGGGAGGAGCTCCGGGCCCTCGAGGACCATCGGGCCCGGGGCACCTTTGTTAGATCCCGCCTCCGCCTCCTTCGGGAGATGGATCGCGGCTCCCGCTTCTTCTATGCCCTGGAGAAAATGAGGGGGGCCAAGAAACACATCACCTGCCTCCTGGCAGAAGACGGCACGGAACCGGCGGAGATGTGCGGGAGGGCCCGAGCCTTCTACGCAAGTCTTTTCTCCCCGGATCCGACTGACCCTAGCACTTGCAGAGTGCTTTGGGAGGAGCTCCCTACGGTCAGCGCGAGTGACCGAGACCGGCTAGAGCTTCCTTTCACTCTGGCCGAGTTCTCGGAAGCCCTCCGTTGTATGCCCACTAATAAGTCTCCAGGCATGGACAGGCTGACCGTGGAGTTCGACCGCGTGTTTTAGGACGTCCTCGGCCCAGACCTAGTCACCGTCTGGGCCGAATCTCTGTAGAGCGGGTTCCTCCTTCTCTCGTGCAGGTGAGCTGTGCTCGCCTTATTGTCGAAGAAGGGGGACCTCCGTGATTTACGAAATTGGCGTCCCGTCTTGCCCCTCAGCACAGACTACAAAATCATAGCGAAAGTAATCTCGCTGTGGCTAGGGTCTGTGCTGGCGGATGTGATCCACCCAGACCAGACCAGACCTACACCGTCCTGGACTGCAGTATCTGTGATAACCTATTTCTGGTTCGGGACCTTTTGGAACTTGGGTGTAGAGACGGTCTGTCGTTCACCCTCCTGTCCCTAGATCAGAAGAAGGCATTCGATAGGGTGGACCACAGGTACCTCCTGAGCACTCTGCGAGTGTTTGGCTTTGGACCCCAGTTTGTGGGTTTTCTCTGGGTGCTGTACGCTTCCGCAGAGTGTCTGGTTAAGCTCAACTGGACCCTGACCGAACCAGTCAGCTTCAGGCGAGGAGTACGGCAGGGGTGCCCCCCTCTTGGGCCAGCTGTATGCTCTGGCGATCGAGCCCTTCCTCTGTCTCCTCCGCAGGAGGTTGACAGGGTTGGTGCTGCGGGAGCTGGAGCTGTGGCTGGCCTGTTGGTGTACGCTGATGACGTGCTCCTCGTGATCCAGGACCCCGGCGACTTGGCGCAAGTGGAGGCTTGCCAGGCCATCTATTCGGCAGCCTCCTCCGCCCGGGTCAACTGGGTCAAGAGCTCTGGCTTGGCGGTAGGAGACTGGAGGCAGGCAAGCTCCCTCCCACCTGTGCTTCAGACCATCCGGTGGAGCGCGGGTCCACTGCTCTACCTCGGCATTTACCTTTCTGCCACGCATCCCTCTCCACCGGAGAACTGGGAAAATTTAGAGGGCGGGGTGATAGAGCGGCTCCGGAAATGGACGGGACTACTCCTATGTCTCTCCCTCCGAGGGAGAGCATTGGTGCTTAATCAACTAGTCCTGTCCATGCTCTGGTACCGGCTCAACACCCTGGTCCCGGCCCCGGGTTTCCTGACCAACCTCCGGACATCAATTCTGGGGTTCTTTTGGTCAGGAACGCACTGGGCCCCTGTAGGGGTCCTTCATCTACCCCTGAAGGAACCTGACAGGGCCTGAAGTGTCTACACACTCAGGTCCGTGTCTTCTGCCTCCAGGCCCTACAGAGGCTTCTCTATGGTGCAGGCAGTTCGGCGTGGAGCACACTGGCGCACGTCATCCTGCGCCACATCCAAGGGCTCCGATATGACCGGCAGCTCTTTTATCTCCATCCGGGACGTCTTCCGCGAGACCTCTCTGGGCTGCCGGTCTTCTACCAGGATCTTCTCCGGACTTGGAAACTGTTTTTAACCACCAGGTCTGTGGCGGCCACCGAGGGGGTAGATCTCCTCACGGAGCCCCTGCTACACAACCCCCAGCTCCGTGTGCAGGTGGCGGAGTCCTGCTTGGTGCGCCAGAGCTTGATCCTGGCAGAAGTCACAAGAGTCGGAGACCTCCTGGACTACGACTGGGGAGACTGGCTGGATCCCCGATGCTCGCCCGGCGCATGGGGCTCTCCAGACCTCGTACCCCTCGGTGCGTACTTCAGGAGGTGAAGGCCGCTTTGCCGCCCGCTGCTCAAGCTTA